GTGGGCGAATATTTAATTATTCTGCTGGTCACTGTTTTAAGTCCAATTAAGTGAAATATTTATTCCATAGTTGTCTAAAGCACAGTAGTTTGGAATCACTGGTGTAAAGACATATTATACTGTGTAAGGTGTTACTCTCCACATAAATATGGGTTTTTTTTTCAGTTTTTCTGCCTTAAAATATGCGCAAAGTCAACACAGATTTTACAAACGGTCAATTGTTAACTTGGTGGTGTGTATTTCTCTCTAGAAAACAGACATCTAACAATAGTATTAGTATTAACTTCTTATTAACTTCTAAAAATATATTTCACATTTTCCTGGACTTTTGCCTTTTACTATATAAAGAATGATTAAAAGGGCTTTCTGATATTACAACTTTGTTATTTTGTAGGCTAATAATAAATAAAAACAAAGTCAGTTTGACTGTATGTTCTTCATTGGGCCATTTTGACTGGCTTTCACTGTGTTGAATCCACACTTCCTCAAAGTAAACAGGAAGTGCCTTAACAAGAACTATTAATGAATTGAATACACACTTCCTCAAAGTAAACAGGAAGTGGTGTTTGTAACAGAAAGTTTTTAGTGAAACTTGAAAAATGCTGAACACCAGTTACTACATGTGGTATTGAATTCAACTTACTGTCAGAACTTATCAGGTTTTAAGGTTCTTAGTTTTAAATGTTGCTCCTTCTGTTAAACAGAGCAGAGCGTTTTGTGGTTCTCGACCACGCCCATCGCTCACTGGTGCAGGTGCAGCCTCTAGAAGAAGGTGGGAGCAGTGGCCCCTATGAACACTGTTTCAACCTCACATTGCTGGAAAACCACCAGGGGCGTATGATGGAGCGGCTGATCAAAGCTTCATCCCAGTGAGTCCCCACTATGGTTTTGGGTATTTCACTCCATACAAGAGTCATTTTGCAGCATGTAAAACCAGTTATAATCAAAAATGGAATGTTACTGTCAATAGGTCGGACATGCACAGGTGGATGGCTGCCTTCCCCAACCCCACCAACCTAGCTGCAGATGAGGACGAAGTTATTTATGACGACTGGGGTGAGAGAACCACAACTTCAGTCATTTCCGTCTTAGACTCAAAACTCTTGCATTTCTTATATTCATATACTGTATTTTTTGTGTTGTTTTGTTGTGTGTCACAGACTGTCCTCAGGTGCAGTGTGTAGAGCAGTACATCGCCCAGCAGGCAGATGAGCTCACACTGGAGCCCACTGAGATCATCAACATCCTCCGGAAGACCAACGAGGGTAGGAACTCACAGAGAATCACAACATAGAGACTTCACAAGTACATGGTCGGAAATTGGGATATTTAATAAATTAGCACTGTCATGCAGAATGACTAGCACTGTATTTCCAATTATGTATGTAAAACACACACACACATATTTATATATATATTCCATAATATACTATCTGACTATATAGAGTCTATATATACTGGGACTATACTATTATTATAGTCTAAGTTATAGACTATACTAATAGTCCCAGTCAACAGAGAAGAGTCGAGGCTCGCTCAGAAAAACAAATGCTAACTTTGTTTTTCCATGATTAATGTACCTCCTTCTCTCACTCTGCACGTTTATACACCCTGCTCCTCATGACTGCGTTGTCCCTCCAACCCTCCACCTCAGCAGTTTATTGATTTGTGATGAATGTTGCGCATGAACAACACAGAGACCTACAGTCTTCCCCTATCTGTTCTGCCCCCTGCCTTCTTCCCTCCCACCCTCTCTGCTACCTTTCCTTTCCTCCTTCTCTGTTTTTCCTCCAGGCTGGTACGAAGGCAGCCGTCTGTCCGATGGTCAGAAGGGCTGGTTTCCTGTGGGAAACGTCATCGAGATCACTAATGAGCATGTGAGGAGGCGAAACCTCCGGGAGCGCTACAGGGTCATCCAGGCCGCGGCCTTCGTTTCCAACAGCAAGAACCGGACCATTAATTAGCCTCTGCAGACCCACAATGTTTACAGTTTTTTCATTTTTTTTAAAGGACCACACATGTAAATGCTGTACAAAGACAATTTTAAGTTTTGGGTTTTTTTTAACTCGTTCAAAGTGTTGCTTTTTAGCCCAGAGGAAACGGAAGATAAAAACAATCATAGCTTTGTTGATACTACTGGAGTGTGTGTGTTTACTCAAAGATGATACGAAGTGTACTCTGTATGTTTGCATTCAGCCTCCCAGCTTGAGGAATCACAAGTAGTAGTGGTGATTACATGCAGTGCTGCCGGCCTTAAATTCATACATGTACTGCCCAAAAAGACTGACTTCTCTGCATGTTTTTAATTTTTGCAATAGTTCATTTGGACTGTAGAGATGTCTAACCTGCTGCAGAGGAAAAACAGTGGGTGTTGCTGCAAACGCCTCCAGTGTCACAACAGGGATAATTAGTGTCACTCTGTGACCACATGCATCACAAGTAATGACATACTGCCAAGAATTGTAGAACAAGTTTAAGATCAGAAGAATGTTTCTCCCCTGCAGACAAATCTCATCAAATGTTATCAAAATACCCTGAAAAGACACTGTGACCTCTATTATCATCAAGCTCAAGCGTTATAAAAATGCCTTTTCATCAGTTGTACCAAAGACCACATCAGGAGCCACAGATTTTTCTTTGTGTTAACACACAAGTTTCCTGGTATTTGTGGCATTTATTTTGGTTTTAATAACAAAAAACGTTTACCGGCCACTTTATTAGGTTACATTTTGCACATAGTGACTAACAAGATATGTTTGGTGGATTTTTTTCCCCCTTCAAGATCTGCTCGAAGCTCTTGTAACACTAATGTCTCGCATAAGCTAAATGTTTACACCTAAAATACTGACACTCCTGGGATAATTAAAAGTTTTGGACTTTTATTTTTGTAAAACCTGGAGGTGGTTGAGTGGTAAATTCTATTCCAAATCGCATCGGCCCTCACTGCTTGGCAAAAGACAAGCAGTTGAACAGGTAAAACAAATGATGCGGCCAAGCAGGTAAATGCTACATTTCTACCACCAACCTGTCATTACTACTTTACATTATTGTTGCAAATGGATATTATTGTTCATATTTACCCATTAGTGACATGGCAGGCTGTTTTACCAACCTGTAGCCTGGATTTGGTCTTGGTTTAGGTGGTAACATCAGAAAAAAATCTGAATTATGATGCAAACTAGTTTGTAATCTTAAAAAAGTGACTCTTTGCATCATAAGTTGCTAAATCTTTGGTGTTCATCATAGCAAGTCTCCCTTTGTAAATTGATGAGGTGTTTTTATTTATTGCTTAAAATGTAAATGTACTAAAGTGTAAATAATGAGACAAGTTTGATTTCTTTTGGCGTTGCTTTTATTTGTTATAATCTTTAAAAAAATATTTTTCAGCAACTGTTGGTTTTTGTTTTTCCACAGAACACAAATAACTGTTTTTAAAAGCCGCTCATGAAAATGATGAGGCTTACATGCCATAATCTTAACTGAACATGAAAACGCTGGAGAAATAAATGTAAATACCAAAGAAGTACAAGATCTTGGAAGTGCGTAAGATTTTTTTTGAACATGAAGTAAGAAGAGAAACTGAACAACGTTTCCATGATAAAGGTGTTACGTTTAGATTGCACCAAACACCTCTGGGTCATAGAAGCCTTCCAGAAGTGCAACATCCCAAATGCTGAGGAGAACACGCACGGCATCGCACTCGGAGTCTGACAGCATCCTCTCTGTCGCCATGGAAGCACCCCTTACCTCCTCCGACCTATATTCTGTCTCACCTGGATCTATCATCTCACTGGGAAACGTACACTCACAAAGACCAGTCTGAGAGCCATGTTCATTACGCTGGAATGGCACAATATCATCAAGAAATGTTAGTGCCTCTTCCTCCGTTAGATTAAAGCAACTCAAGAGGGTTTCAGCTGCTTCCAGCTCCTCCTCAGACCAAAGTCTTCCCCCATCCTGTGATAAGGAAACATCTGCACCTTCGTCTCTAAAGATAGCTCCCAGATCCTCAGATAGGATGTCACTAGGGATTAAATCCAAAAACTCTCTTTGTGACTCATCACTTGGCCCCTGCACTTCCTGCTGGTTCAGACTCAGCAGGTAAGTTGTGGTCTGATCTGCCTCCTCTGTAAACTGGACAATGGAGCCATCTGGCTGCACCGCTGAATTCAGAGAGTTCACTGTCCACTCAGACTGACGCAGGTCTGCAACAGGGTGCAGCTCAGACCGTAGCGGGTGTTGATGGTTCGATGAAACTACGCAGCTCGACATGATCGGTGGTGGAGTGTTGAGCTGGAAATAATTATTGATCTGATGGTAGGAAAATGAATGGAATGAAGTTTAATTGAAAATGGAAATTAGTGTAGTTGTAAACGCAGAAAACAATTCTGAAGTGTTTTCCAAAAACCACAGGCGTAGAGCGTTATCACAACATTTGTTTAAATTTAACTGGATGTAGAGCTGATACCAGGTCTAATCTGTTAAAACAACTCATCTCTGTTTCTCCCCCAGTCTACATTTTTTCCCCAGGGTCTTGAGTGTGTCTGACAGGACCGATCCAGGCCTTATTAAATCTCTTATTCAGTCTTATAAGCTCAAACTACAAAGTGGAAGCTGAAAACAGGCAATTTTGTGGGAATATCTACCCGTCACCTCACCCTGACCTAATTTCAGCAGAGAAAACACTCAACCTGGGAATAAAGAGTGACAGTTTGAGGTTATTTACTTGATAGAACCATAAATCAATAGATTCATACATTAAGGGAAGGGAACTGGGCTACGATAGATCTTTAGGCAAAATGTAATAGCACTTTCAGCCCAGAATGCTGTCTTTGTAATATCAATAACATGTGTGGATCTTAAATATACATTTAAATAGATTTTAAAATATCATTTTGTTTAGTCGTTGTTTGTAGTACTTAATTATTTACTTTACATATGTATCTTCATTCTGTGGTGTATTAGCTAAAGCTAGCCAACTGCTGCGTTTTGCAATGATATTCTGTTATATCCGTTTTATCCCACCTTATATTATTTTATCTTATTTAAGTGTGTACATCTCTACAGACGATACATGTAACATTATAAACGTTATCTACCTCTAAACCAACATATAGTGGTGAGAATTATTTTGCCGACATTTAACGACCAACGAAACAAACAAACAAACAAAAACTGTGCGTCATGACCGATCACTACTAGCAAAGACTGTCTACAGTGCTCTCATACCAAGACCTCGTGTCAAGGGACCTGCTAATTGAGCACATTTCCAGAAAAATAGCAACTTATGTGTTGCAGGGACTTTTTAAAAGCAAATAGTTTAGTATTGCAGTTTTAGGATATCTCTGCCCTTTCATTAACTAATTACACACATCCGTGGTTACCAAGGTTGTTTTTTTTGTGTGTGGTTTTGTTCGATTTATGCACATTTACCTCAAACTCGCACACTAAGTTCGGGATCCTGCCTCCAAAGTACATGGTCGGATCAATGTAGTACATCTGTTCACGGGAGATTGGGTGGGCTGGAGAGTTGAGAAACTACTGTAAGCGAACTTATTTTACTGATAGAGTTTTGAACGTATGTATAGGTGAGAACAGCCCCACCTGGTTCGTGAGGATGATGCTCGTAGGGGTCTGCCGCCGAGTAGAGAGACTGCAAAGATGGATGGTGTAAAATCCTGTTGGAGACAGAGGTCAGGACAGGCCTCCTGAAACTCTGCAACAAGAGGACAAAATCACACGCTTAGTCTTTTTCGCTTTATTGATTACCTCTATTTACATTTGAATTTAAATTAACGCGCGTATGACCGGAAACTCACTTCGCTGCCACTCATTGTCGATTATCCTTATTCGTTCTGTAATTTAAAAGTTAAAGTGTCGTCAGCCTCATTTGTTTGCGTGAAATTAAAAGGAAAATAAAATCAACTAATTTTAACAGTGCCCTCTGCCGGTCGTACCGCTGATTACCACCGACTTTGGCAAGTGATTAACAGAAACGGTCAACGGCGGAAAATGGTCGGTTTGATTTTCCATTCGACGTATTTCATTAATTTTACTAATTTCAAACATTTTAACAAATGTTTCTATAACTTACAACCATAAAGATGAGACTAATTGCGCAGATTCGACCATTTTGAAACAAAACGATTCAGCTCTATGGTTAAAATCAGAAATGTCAAATAAAAATGTTTAACTTTTAAACAGCAAGTAGGTTTTTAGAAGACATAATTGAAATTAAAAAATACAACTGGCTATGTTTAAACCTGCAGATCTACGTTTTTCTACAACCTCAAAGTAATGTTAGGAACTTTATACCAACTTCCTGAATATTAATAATAATTGAAATTAAAAAAGACAACTGGCTATGTTTAAACCTGCAGATTATTACAGTAAAAGGAATATTAGTTCCTCATAAACCACAAACATCCAATTTGAAATAAGTCAGAAAGACTCGAAACATGCACCATGAATACAAGTAAATCAGATCATACATCTGGCCAATAATGAAGAAAATGCTATTGCTTTCCTTTGAGCTACTGTTAGCTGCTCTGCCCTGATGTCACACCAAACATGGCTGTCGATGGATTGGACTTTACATCTTTGTTTATAGAAGGAAATTTTTTGGCAAAAACATTTGCCAAAAAACCCTTTCATGTTGCTGGCACCTGTTTTCATTTGGGGCAAGTCAGATCAGCCTGTTGCCAATGTGTCACTTTATAAACGGAATCCATGTTACACCTTAAACTAAATCAATCTGTGTCTAACACATACAGAAGAGTTGTTAGTTCTGTTGCCCTAATTGCTGAACACAGGCAGCAAGTTAGAGCTATCTGTAACCTGAAGTAATACAGTGACCACAAGTGATTTAAAACACATTTTTATTCAATCCAATTTTTTTCTTTTAAAAATCTAAACAAAGTTCCTCAAACATGTTTGTCATTTGCTTTGACATGAGTGGTTCCTTTGATTCCTGTAGAGAACAAATTAAGAAATAAAGACTTTTTAAATTGACTGGCCTTTAAATTAATCATAAACAAGAACAGACTTTTTTTTTTACCTCTTTTCAGACTTTCTAAGTATCTGAAGGGTGAAACTCTGACGTAACGAACAGGGGGGTGGAAGGCGGGCTGAAAAACGGCAGGTCTTCTGGTTCGTCTTGTTGGAGGTGTGGTGTGAGTAACTGTGACTGTCGGCTTCATGGTGGTGGTTTCAGGCTCTGAAACACAGAAAATCAAAACTGGCAATGTTTCATCTGATGACTAGTAACGTAAGGCAATGAGTGATAGACTGATTCACTGTACCAGTCAGAGATGGTGAGGTGGTGATGTGTCCGACCCCAACCGTGTCAGACTCAAACCTGTAGATTGAGAAGAGACGATGGAGTCCAGACAGAGGATACATGCACTCCACCACCACTCTGTCAGGTGAGGGCACATTCACCGCCACTGATCTGATTTGAAACCATGTGTTAGTCCTTGAACTGTTGCACAGACTTGCATGTATTGTTATAGAGAGACTTACTGCTCAGTTGAATTGTCAGAGAGTTGTGTGCTTTCTCTGAGCTTCCTGGTGTACAAAATCTCATTTTGGTAAATTACATTTTCCTTGAACAGCTACATGGAAGAAAATTTGTTAGTTTTAAAACATTTGCAAGCTACATTCAAAATTTTGGACATGTCAACATTACCCTGACTGTGGATCCACAGCTGTTAACTGGAAAAGAGAACAGGGCCCTGGTCTCATCAGCTTCTCTGGGTCCACAGTATTTGTCCATGAGGTTTGATCTAGCTGGATCTCCAGGTGGGATCATTCCAGACAAGTCAGCCGCCACAGTCATTTTCCCATCAGTCGAACAAACTAAAGAAAGATGCATTAAAACTTGCCAGATATATGCCGATGAAAGAAAACCTCAGCCAGACTTAAACTTACAGATAAATTCCAAACGAGTGAAAGGACAAGTCTTGACGGTAGATCTTTGGACTTCTGACGTGTTTCGATCCCTCACAAGGATCTCAAAAGTGCCGAGAAATCCTTTCAAGGAAATGTTCTGACAAACAAAGGTTTTTTTTAGAATTTACAAGCCAAAAACTTAACATGCTCAACATTTCCTCCATCCTGAAAAACAAACCTCAATGAGTTTGGTACAAATATTAATGTATACAGTCAAATTTCCTCCATCCTACCTTATATTGA